TGTCCCATTGAGGTAGACCCGTGCGGGGTGGGGACTGCTGTCCCATTGAGGTAGACTCGTGCGGGGTGGGGACTGCTGTCCCATTGAGGTAGACCTGTGCGGGATGGGGACTGCTGCCCGGCCGATGGTCCACCCGTGCCGGGTGGGGACTGCTGCCCAGCTGAGGTCCACCCGTGCCGGGTGGGGACTGCTGCCCGGCTTTATAAGCCACGTCATCTTCATATTTCTGAGTGAGGCTGCAGACTTGATAAAGTATCTTCCTGTCTAATCTTTCCCATGTGCATCATTATTTGCTTTTTTTTTTTTCAGTGTACTGTGTGCTAGTTAATATTTGTATCCTTTGATCTAATTCTCTTGCTTTCATGATTAGGAGAAGTTATTCGCAGATTCTGGCCATCAGTTACTATGAATGTTTATTATTACTAATGGTCAGCACCTATTGAGTACATCTTATGCGCCACATAAATGCTTTAAGTGTGTTAACTTAGTCAATTTTTATAACCCTACGTGTGGTGCTATAATTATTACCACTGTATAGATGGGGAACTTGAGGCTTAGAGAAGTCGAGCGCGTTGGCTATGAGCACTTAGCTAGTATGTGCCATAGTCAGGGTTCCAACCTGGAAAGCCTGTATTTTTGCATGTTCCAAGTTTTTAATGTATCTTCCCCCATCTTCATAGGTTGGTCCTCCCTCTCTTCCTTTCTTCTCTCCCTTCTTTTATGAATATATAAAACACTGGCAGCCAGACAGCATTAAAGAAAGAGGACCTTGCTTTTTATTTCTTTATATTTACAGCTTATCTCTGAGTTGAGATGTACTGTAAGTATAAACATACCCTGAATATTGGAGGCTTCATATGAGAAAGACTGTGATTAAAGTCAGTTTTGCCTTTTTCTACCATTTTGAATATGACTACTAGAAAATTAAAACTTGTATATGTACCTCATGTTACATTTATTGGGCATTTAAAAAGTGTATGAAGTGTGGTGTCTATAGGAGTCTTGTACAGAAGGGGCTCACCAGGAGGTGAGAGCTTGGTGAGTGAGGCCAGAACTTGTACAGAGGAGACAGCTAAGGCCGTTTTGAAGGTCCCGAACAGGTGACCTTGGCAACAGTAGTACCTTGTTTTTACTTTTTTTTTTTTTTTGAGGTCTTTAAGTCTGCTCTTTGGAAAAAAGGAAATAAAAATCAAAACAATTAAAATATTATTTTGAAAGTCTTTTTTTCAGGTAGTATTAGTTCATAGTGTAGTACAACTCCTCAAGGTTGAAGAAGGCCTGGAGCGTCTCACAGAGGCCACTGCCCTTTGTCACGTCCCCAGACACCAGATGTGGTCATGCAGTTGGCTAAATGTGGACACAGATGAGCTTTCTCTCCATTAAGCTCAGGATGTGGTCCATCCTGGGAGGGAGTGACATGAGGCAGGTGAATGTGCAGAGCTGGGGCCTGAGGTCAATCTCTGTTGGCCTATAGTTTGAAGTAAGTTTAAATCGTAGGTCGGTGCGAGGTCACCAGGAATTGAGTGAAATGAGAAGTGAATCCAGGGCAGTCACCTGAGTCACAGAGTGAAGAAGAGGTACCTACAGGAGAGGAGGTGGCCGTGCTTGTGTGGTCTCGAGATGAGTAGGTAGAGACAGAGTCACATGTGGCTAAGAGATACAACTAAAGACTGAACCATGTCTATTGTCTTGAATAATAAAGAGGTTATTGGGGAGAATGCAGGTTCCCAGAGAGGGTTGGATTAGCTGGTAAAGCCAGATTGCAGGAGGTTGAGGAATGGATGGGATTGGAGAAAGAAACTTACTTAGAATGAGAGAGGGAGGAGAAGGGAAGGCTTCTGGAGCTCTCAGAGGATGCGTGTGGCACAGGACCCCTCGGGGTGTGTGCCCCTCTCTTCCCTGGTGTGACTCCTTGAGAGAATCGCTGTTTCTGTGTCTGTGTTCCTGGGATGGAGTGTGGCATGCTTCACAAGGTAATTGCTCAGTAACAGTTTCGATTATGATTTAATTTATTTAACATTTCCTTTTCAAAAAGATTCTTTATTAACATCATTTCCAAATTCTCTAAACATTACATCTACATGAGGACTTAATTTTATCCATGTTTTAAATGCACCGTGGCTTGGCTTAATCGTGAAGGAATGGGCTTTGGAATCCATTACAATTGTAATTCACATTTTGACCTTTGCACTTTAGCTGTGTGATCTTGAACAAATTCGTTACTATTTGGCTTCTTTTTCTTCTCATCTGTGAATTGAGGATATAACACCTCCGTTATTGTCAGTCTTTTGTAGAATTCAGTGTGAATACTTATAAAGTTTTTTTGTGTAGAAATGTAAAGAGTTTGATTGAATTCGGCACTCAGTAAATGCTTTCTTGAAATATGGCAGCTTCACATATTATACATGCCTGTATCAAACGGCACATGTACCCCCCAAATTCATACACATCTGTTATGTACCTATAATAATTAAAAATACAAAGTTAAAAACAAAAAAAACACAAGCAGTATGTATGGTGTGATGTTATAACTTTAAATAAGAGCAAGCATACTCAGTTAAAATTTGAGTAAAAAATTAGCCTTTGAGTAAAAAAATGTTTCTTTCCTTCCTCATCCCAATCCAGGTCCTGAGGGAGTCTAACAAATTAGCAGAAATGGAAGAACCACCCTTGCTTCCCGGAGAAAATATTAAAGACATGGGTCTGTAATGGTATTTTTTGTTTAATTTCCTCCTCCTCTTCGACTCTCAGCATACGGGGAACAAACTGGCTGTCAGAGAGATTTCCTGCCTGGCAGCGTCAGTGCCGGCAGCCTGCCCCCCGTCGCGGTGTGGGCTGTGGGACAGGCCAAGGCCTGGCTCTGTTGCTAGTGTTTGTGTCTGACCACTGGGAAACATGCAGATTGGATTATGCTCTGCTGCTTCTCTGGTTTGTTTTACTTTCTTTGAAAGTTGGTGACTATTTTTTAAACCGTTGCTGGATTCTGTATAGGGAAATTTTATTGTTTTAATTACTGCATTTAGATACTGGATTACCTAGATAAAAACACTGAATTGCCACTTTATACAAGTAGTTTTTTTTTTTTTTTTTTTGGCTGGGGCCAGGTTTGAACCCACCACCTCCGATATATGGGGCCAGCGCCCTACTCTGAGTTTTTCTTAAGACACATTCTCTGTTGTTTGCCTCCTTTATGCTTTTCTTCTCTGAGTACACTCTGGTCAGTGTGTGGATGGAGTTTTCCATCCCAGGCCGTCTGTTTATGTGTAGGTGCCTTCCTCTGTCCAGCCTAAGGCTTAGAACACGGGCCAGGGGTTGAAAATGAGCACGTCAGGCCTGCTTTCGTCTCTGTGCTTTGCTTTGTTTCATCCACGTAATGATTACAAAGTACTCAGATTTTGAGAAGTATGTTTGGAGAATGAAGCAAATGACTTCTTAAAGTATATACCATCCTTCATAGTTTTATTGTAATTTTTAAAAAGAAATTTATTTTTCCTTGGCTAGTTGTCATTTCCTTGTGTAAATACCAGCTGGCTGTGGGTGGCCTGCCCTGGACTGGGCTGTGGCTCCTGCTCCTTGAGCTTCTCAGACTCAGCAGGCTGCCGTTTTCTCCCTGCTGCTGCTCCACTGAATGATGCTCCATCTTTTTTTCACACTCAGCCTTGTACATTGAGCTCACTGTCTGCTGATCTATGTGCTGAGTTGATAGGTTTTCAGGATTGGCTTTCTAGAATGATCCTAGTTAGTACTGGGTATTTACTGTCTCACTTTACCATTCTCAGAGTAATATTCTGAGAAAGATATTAATCCCATTTTGTGGATGAGGAAACTAAGGCATAGGGAGATAACCTACTAATAAAATCTTATCTAGCATTGGACATTTTCTTTTGCCTGTGCTGCTGCTACTGTGATATGAGCTTTATTAAAGACTTGTGGGCTACTGCTTGGTCTCAGTTATTATTTCTTCTTCCTTTAAAATCAACACCCCTAGGACTTCACCCTGGATTCATTTTCCTTCTCCTTCCTATATACCCTTTTTATTTGACCATGTCTAAATGAGTAACTTCACCTACAATATTCTAGTCTGAATCTTTGTCGTAGACATATGCCCTTGGATATCCCTTGGGAACCTTATAGATCCAATATATTCCAAACTGAAATCTTCACCCTTCACCCCAACTTACTCTTTATCATGTGTTCTCTTTCTTAGTTGACATTGATACAGCTGACCGTGTGTTCCAGTTAGGAATCTAGTTGTCCTGCTAGGCTGCTCCTTTTCTCTGAACTCTTAACATTCACTCAGTTATCCAATCTCTAAGAATTTCATAAATGTATGTGCTTTTCTTTATTTGTATAAGCACTTGATATATTTATATATATTAAATTTCAGATACATGAAAAACTTCAAGTAGAAATTTCTAAACAGATATGAGAGCTTAGTCAAGAGATTTAATTTTGAGGTGCATGCTTGGGAAAAATTTATATATGGATATTAGTGGAAAATGGGAGGGGATAAATAACCCAGAGAGTGCGTAGCAAGAAGAGGGCCCAGAACATTGCTTTGGAAAACACATCTTTTTGAGAGAATCTCACTATGTCACCTGGGTGGACTACTGTCACAGCTCACAGCAATCTCTAACTCTTGGGCTCAAGCCTCTCTTCCCTCAGCCCCCCAAGTAGCTGGGACTACAGGCACCGGCCACAATGCCTGACTGTTTTTTTTGGTTGTTGTTATTGTTGTTGTTTAGCTGGCCCTGGCCAGGTTCGAACCCACCAGTCCCCATGCATGTGGCCGGCACCCAAACCACTGAGCTTAAGCCAGAAAACACATCTTAAAATTATATGGGAAAAGAGGAATTAGGGAGGGAAATTGAAGAATGGAGAGAGTGGAGAGAGCCAGAGTGGACATTTATCTTTGTTGGAGTAGGTGTTTTACTTCCCTAGTTCTGTATCTTGGATTAGTTCTTTTGTCTTAAGTACTTTGATACCATCTCTCCCCGTCTAGAGGGTACTTGGCATTGGGGAGCAGTTCCAAAGCCTGTGTTTCCGGAACACTTGTTTGCTTCTGTGGCTAAATTGACTTTCCCTTCTCTGTGTCACTTAGAATATTAGGACACATGCTTTTGTGTTCATCTTTTTGCAGAGGTTGGATGCTGACATATATTACATTTACTTATATTTTTGTTATTTCTCTTTACTGATGTGTATTTTCAAAGTCATTCTGGCATACTTCACAGAAACTATTATGTATCCTTCCTCTGTGAGCTCTGAAAATTTGAGAGGGTTAGTAAATCTAAATTTTTTTTTTTTTACTACTAGGCAGTACTATTATTACAAAATTTAGAGAATACCAAACATGATTTTAAAAAATCTTAATTTAAAATCATCTGTACATGAAGATTATTGTGAAAAAATTAAATTTAATTGAAAAAAGTCTTAAGATTAAACTTCATATATTTATTCACTTAAAAAAAGGTGGATTTTTAGGGCTGTGCCTGTGGCTCAAAGGAGTAGGGCACTGGCCCCATATGCCAGAGGTGGTGGGTTCAAACCCAGCCCCGGCAAAAAAAAGGTAGATTTTTAGTTAGTATAATTAGATCTGTATGGTTTAGGGTTTTTGGTTGTTAAAGTGAAAGTGGTGTTAGGAATACCAACGGAATGCCTTAGGAAGGTAACAGTCTCAGAATATCGTGGCCTGGCCACATCAACAGTAGAGGTACCCTCAGATTGCAGTAATTTCCACTTTTAACACAGTACAAAGGTGTTAAACGGACGGTGCTGAGTTAGTTAGTGGCTTAGCTTTGCCACGAGAGGAGGGAGCACATCGTGGCTGAAAGAGCTTAGAGAACCTGAATTCAAGTCTTAATCTTAGCAGCGACTGGTTCAGAAATTAGGCAAATTGTTTCACTTTCCTGAGCTTTAATATTCTCATGTAAAAATTGTAGATAATTATATTCTGTATGTAAGGGTTGTGAAGACAGTTAAATAAGGTGCTCAGGTGAAATTGAACTGTCAAGTTCTAGGTCGCTGAGCTAGCTGTCATTACTGTCCTTTACTGTGGTGAGGTTCCCTGTCACCCCCAGTCAGTCTCTCTTCTCCGTGCTGTAAACCGGCTGAGTGTCACTCATCTCCTACAGCGTGACAGAGCCCGAGAGAGATGAGGAGGAGAACAGGGCAGAGCAAAGAGTGAGGGTGACAGTGGTGACGTGGGATGAGCCCTGACACTGGTACAACACTTTAAATTTTAGAAGAACTTTTATGCCTATTACCTCATGATTTTAGAACAAAAGGAAACACAGCATTGGACCGAGAGTGACCCATCCCACAGTGGGAGATAGAAGAACAAGATCGGTGCTTCTTGCATGAGTAATAAACCAGCTCTGGAAGGACCCAGAAATGCTTTTAAACATGAATAAAGCTTTCCTGTGTGAGGTACAGATTCACAAGGGAAAGAAAAGTGTGCACGGCAGATTTGTGTACCTTTATATAATGATGAGTCTATTTAATTTTAAAAGCTTCCCTCTAAAAGGAACATACATTGGAAACAGTGATTTAAAAAATGTAACTCATACTTGAGCATTCCTAAGGGAACCATTTTGAAGGTTAGGAATGATAGTTAAAGGATCAGTCTTAAAGCAAATTCCACACAAAGCAGTCAGTCCTTCAAAGTTATGACTAAGGAGCAAGGCCAGGAAGTTGCGATGTCCTACTGAGCATACTTCATGGCCCTCAGTTTTCCCATCAGTCCTTTGAAATTTTCTTAGAAAGTTGTTGCTCCACAGAATTTCTCCTCACTTCTTGGAATAATGCAAATACTCCTTTATTGCACAGCAGGAGTTTATGAATATTTTAAGATATAAAAACCTTGTATTGCAAATTAAGAACTCTGCCATTTTAAATGTTATTTTGAGCTAGTGATTGCTGAGCTATTTTGCTTAATCAATTAATGCATACTTTACAAAGCATACTGTTATATAGACATTATTTATCATTTAATAACATATTACTTGGGATTATCTCATTACAAAGTTGGACATCAGGAATATAATCTCCTCTTACACTGTTATTTTTCTAAGAAATTATATTTCATATACATTTCATTTCCCTACAACATTTTCCCCAGAAATAGAATCAGATCAGGAGTTTTCAGTATTATACATGTTTTGGGTATTACATTTCTAGAAGACTGTTGACAGATGAGACTATGGCTAGTAAGACCGAGAGCTTGGTGAGGCCATCTGGAAACTGATGGAATGAACAGTGGTGGTGCCGTGACACAGGTACTGTTGGTACCATCATTGCCAACACCTGTCCCCACTCCTGTTCCAGCTGCCACACGTGTCTGATCTGGCTGGTGGAGTAGCTGTGTCTTTCACTTCCTGTTTTGTCTCAGCGGAAGGGAGGTCCGTCCACCTCTTCAGTTTTCCCCCTTTAATTCCATATTCTTTCCCCAGTTAGTGCAGGTTGGGAATCTTGGCTTAGGCTTCTGAGGTCTCTTGGAATCATTGATTCTGTGATTTTTGAGCATGAATTAGACTAGCAGTTAGAATAATTTTTGTAGCTTGAGAAAGCAGATTTTAATAGCCCAGAAGAAGTAAACTGGACTTTTTGCCTTTTCAGCTAAAGATGTGACTTATATATGTCCATTCACTGGTGCTGTACGAGGAACTCTGACTGTCACGAATTATAGGTTATATTTCAAAAGCATGGAACGGGTAAGACTGGATTGGATTTTTGTACATATGTGTGTTGTTTGCAGGCAGTTTGTTTATTTTTGATCATTTCTTTTTATTTTTTATTTTTTATTTTTGATCATTTCTAATTAAAGGATTGCTGATTGAGATTTTTATCCGCTATGATTGTACAGTATTAATTGCTCAGTGCTAATTGTTTTTTCTTCCCTTCCTTTAGGACCCCCCATTTGTTTTAGATGCGTCTCTTGGTGTCATAAGTAGAGTAGAAAAAATCGGTGGTGCTTCTAGTCGAGGTGAAAATTCTTACGGACTAGAAACTGTGTGCAAGGTAAATGTTTAATACGTGTGTGATTTTCTTTGGTTGGTAGTACTCTCTAATTAAATAGAGCTTGTGTTTATAAACTTGTTTCCAAAATATCAAATGAGTTTCATAAGAGAAATGCTATTCATGTAGAAGAACGCAAAAGTTAGCCATAATAGAAAAGATGATTCATTCTTTTGGACCCAATTCAGTATTTTGATACACTCACAAATTCAGAGCAACTTATTTTTACAGTGCCTGTCTTCAGTGTGCAGGGTCCATGGTGCTTCCACAATTGCTGTTTTACTTGGAGCTCCATTTATGACCATGTACACATCACTAGCTTTAACTTACAAGTTAGAAACATTCGGCTTTACACACTTAAGGTAAACCCTGGAAGAACTCCATGCATGTTCAACATCACCTATGGTTTTCTATTTCTAGTTCTTTGAATTTTTTTTTATGTCTGAAACAATGGTGGGAAAAATGTGACATTATACACCTTCCCTAATATTTTTTTTGAGACAGAGTCTCAAGCCATCGCCCGGGGGCAGGGGGTAGAGTGCTGTGGCGGCACAGCAGGAACCTAAGCTGTTACCTTAGTAAATATTTTTATAACTGGTAGAATATTAAGTATCATTGGGTTAACAGAGGTCTCTGAAAGTATCATAGAAGGGGCCCTACAATGTTAGAGTTTACTGATAATGGTCTTGTTGCAAAGAAAAAATTATATTTAAAATGGTCAAGATGGCTTGGTGCTTGTAGCTCAGCAGCTAGGGCACCATCCACATACACCGGAACTGGCGAGTTTGAACAAAGCCCGGGCCTGCCAAACAACAGTGACAACTACAACCAAAAAATAACCGGGTGTTGTGGCAGGTGCCTGTAGTGCCGGCTACTGGGGGGCTGAGGCAAGAGAATCATTTAAGCCCAAGAGTTTGAGGTTGCTGTGAGCTGTCACACCACGGTACTCCACTGAGGGCAACGTAGTGAGACTCTGCCTCCAAAAAAAAAAAAAAAAGGTCAAGATGTCAAAGCCATCCTCTTTTATGTTCTCTTATACTCTGTGTTCTATTTACTATTAGATTACAGAAAGTGACCAGGAGAGACTGTGCCTCATACCTGGCTCCACACGGCTGACAGCAGCAGTTACACTCACAGAGTCCTTCCGAATATACGGACTAATTAATTAGCTTTAATACTAGATCCACAAAACTTTTAAGATTAGCATAAGAAAGAATCTGGAATTATACATGTGATGTTTATTTTGCTTTTGGCACTGGCAGAACAGCAAAAGAAAAGAACAATGCAATCTAGAATTAAGATGTATGTGGAGGATAATTGGGCTGTAACTACAGAAACAGTGACCTGGTATTAAATATCTGTGCCTTAATAGTAAAAATCTAAGTTTCGATTAAGGAATGCCAGTAGATAAAAAAAAAGAATAGGTGGCTAGGCGTGGTGGCTCATGCCTATAGTCCTAGCACTCTCAGAGGAGGCAGGTGGATTACTGGAGTTTGAGGGTTTTTTTTTTTTTTTTTTGCAGTTTTTGGCTGGGGCTGTGTTTGAACCCGCCACCTGTGGCATATGGGGCCAGCGCCCTACTTCTTGAGCCATGGGTGCCGCCCTGGAGTTTGAGTTTGAGACCAGCGTGAGTAAAAGGGAGACCTCGTCTCCCTTTAGATAGAAAAAACCTGAGGCAAGAGGATCGCTTGAGCCAGAAAGTTAGAGGTTGCTGTGAACTGTGCCACCATGGCACTCTATCTGCCTGGGTGACAGCTTGAGAGTCTGTCTCAAAAAAATAGGGAAGTTGTATAATATCACATTGTAAAAGATGGTAAAGATGGCATTCTAGTTTTGGATCGGATTTGTAATACTTGTTCACATATCATTAGTGCATCATAGTGGAGTGTCTTTGAATTCAGTTTTATAGAATGAGGTATAATAAAGCTATTTTGAATTCTTCCTGGATTATTAAAACATGTAAATAAAATGGTCTTGAAATTATTCTTAATCCCCATTTTTTCCCCTAAATGCTATTAAGATATTAGTAAACTAGAGCATGAATATCTGTAGTCACCCTGAACATAGAAAACTACTTGAGAACAAATGTGGGAGGGAACCTTGGTCTATAAACTGTTATAGAGCCTGGACTGTCCAGACTGTGTGTCAGAAGATGCAGTGATGGAAGGCCTTAGTTTGTTTCTATTGGTATAACAGCAGGGAACTTATGAAGAGAAGGTCCAACAGGGAAGTGAGTTTTAGCAAGGGATAGCAAATAGAAAAAAAGTTACCAGACATAATGGAAATGGTGACATATCTGAAATGTAATAACAGTTAAGCAGGTTTTATTTATAGAGAAATTCATGACAGAAAATAGGCTTTCACAGGGAAAAGATGTGTGCTGATATTGTTGTTATCAGTCATGATGTTAAGCTGAAGAGGTAGCATCTCTAAACTCCAGTGCTTAAAAGTGTTACCTTCTTCGTTGGCCTATCTTGAGTCCTTAAGCAGAGGTAAATTTTCTGCCCTCTGAATTCTGCTTTGGAGTGCTTTATGTGTCTTTGTATTTCTTCCAGTAAACCAGTGTAATTATTCCGACTCCAGGAGCTGTTGTCTAGTTTATTTTTGGACCCACATGTACAGATCTTAACATTTTATAAGTTCCAAATAACCTAATTTATTAATTAAAAACTGAACAAATAATTATTAAGTTGGATCCTAAATCTTTTCTAGGATATTAGGAATTTACGATTTGCTCATAAACCTGAGGGGCGGACAAGAAGATCCATATTTGAGAATCTAATGAAATATGCATTTCCTGTCTCTAATAACCTGGTAAAATGTTTCTTATCTTTGGAAAATCTATATTAAAAGCATTGATACAGTGTAAAGAAACTTGTCTATGTTATCTAGAAATTGTACATTTACTTCCCTGCTTTGACATTTAACCTGGCCTTTAATACAGTGTTAATGACCTGGTATATCTCTCAAATTCAGAGCACCTTATTTTTGTAATGACTGTCTTTTGTGTGCAGAGTACTGTGCAGGGTACACGGTACTTCCACGCTCATTAACCTACACTAGGGTAATGAATAGTGTAGGCTGAATCTAATCTCTTGAACCGATTTCTTTTGTGTGAATAAAGAAACTGGATTAACTGACTTTTTTAAAATTAAAGCATAGCTGTGTACATTAATGCAGTCATGGGGTTAGAGTGTGCTGGTTTTATATACAATTTGAAATATTTTCATCAAACTGGTTAACATAGCCTTCATGTCATTTTCTTAGTTATTGTGTTAAGGCATTTATATTCTACATTTAGAAAGATTCACATGTACCCTTGTGGATGAACCATCTGAGGTCCATGCTAGCACTTATATTCTGGAATTATATGATTTTGCTATCCAGGGTATTTCCGTGATGAGAAGCATTATGTAGTCTTCATTAGAATTTGAAGTCTCCCTTTTAATTGGGAGCTGAGAATAAGACTGGCGATTTGGGAAGGAAGGGTAGGCAGACCCTGAGTTCCTGTGATGTGCTCTGACCAGTGGTCGGCTCCCTTGTTAACGCTATTATCATTTTACCTCCATAGTAGCCCTGTGGTGATAGATACGATTTATCCCTGTTGTAGAGAGGAAACAGTTATCAAGTAAGCAATTAATGCAAAGACGCAGAGAGAAGGAATTTGGAATTAGCACCGTCTTCTAACTCCAGTTCACTATTTTTTTCATCATAGTTATTTTGGCCATTATGTCTAATTGACAAACTAGTTTTTTTTGGTTTGCACATTGCATGCCAAAAAATAACAACCTTATTCAGTATGATTTAGGACACATAGCATAAACTTTATTGCTGCTTAAATGCTAGTATCCATGATAATTGCCAGGTGCATTACATGCATTGACGTTGGCAGCACTGTGCAGGTTTCATAACTTTGGTGTGTGAGTGTCCCACAGTTGTATTCATGTTGATGTGGTGGCGTCTCCTTAAGAGTCATTCATTACTGTTGTATATTTTTGTATGCTGTTGTGAGAATGTTGGAGTTTTTTTTCTTAAATGTGGCAAGAGTGGCAGTGAAATCAGGGACATGTTAGTCCAGGTTTATGGGGACAGTGCCATGAAGAAAACAGCAGTGTGCAAATGGCCGTTCTGAGGGGAGAGAAGGCATCACCGATGAAGAGAGGTCAGGAGGGCCAGTAACAGGCAGAACTGGCAAAAACACTGCAAAAATTCGTCAGATTACGTGTCAGAATTGCCGGCTGACTGTGAGAAGCGTGGCAGACCTAGTAAACACTAGCAGAGAAACAGCTAGGAAACTCTTAACTGAAAATCCTGGCCAGCACCTCAAGGCTTTTACATCACGGGCATGAACCAGTTCACTGTCTGGGAGGGACTTTGTAGCCAGTAAACAAGTAATCGTATTGGAATACCCTCACTACTTGTCCAGTCTGGCCTCCAATGACTTTTTTCTTTACCTGAAAATAAAGGAAATATCAAAAAGAAGACATTCTGATGACATTCAGAAAATCCAGGGTAGGTGATGTGGCCACAGCTCTGATGGCCATTCCAGAAAGAGAGTTCCCAAATGTCTTTGAAGGGTGGCACTGGCCATGGTGCTCAGCTCCCCAAGGGGTTACACTGAAGGAATAGTGATTTTCAGTAATGAGGGAGGTAGCACTTTTTCTAGGAAGGGTTCACAGACTTAACCTTGTACATCAGAAGATGCCTTTTTAAATGTAATCTTTCACTATTAGAAGTAAAATCTACAAAACATACCAGAGATATCTGAAAGAAGCATGATAGGTTAGTATTTGATAAGTTTGTTAGTAGATGTTTCAGCTTTTCTATTATGTTTGAAAAATATGTAAAAAAACAAAGTATTCCAAAGTTATGGAATAAAAACTAAATATAAAAGGGAAGCAATGTAAAGAATCCTTACAGATGAGTCATGTAAACTCTGGGTGTGATGCGGGTGTGTTTCTCATTCTCTACTTTCTGAAATGTCCTTTTTAAGCTGTTAATTTTGTTTACTTTTTTGTAGCCTCTTTTTGCCTTTGAATACAAGGAAATGTTCCCCGAAAGTGGGTGGAAGCTGTATGACCCTCTCTTAGAGTACAGAAGGCAGGTAAGTGCTTCTGTCCTTTCCACTTTAGTATTTTATATCATTTTCCCCACAAAGACAACTTCATGGGTAGAAGTAAACAGCTTTATCTAGGTTTTTTGTTTGTTTGTTTTGAATGAAGGCTAATCCTGATTGTATGGCTTTCTTTTCTTGAAAGGTTTTCAGAGTATGCCAGTGAATATTGGTTCAAACCAAATATGCAATTGTGCAAACCAAATATGAATATTTACTTATCTAAGAGTTTGCAGATCTATAAATTTGTTTCAAAACTGTTTACCAATCTTAAAGATAAAATTAAGGTGATGAGGATTTCACTGCCCTGGCTCGGGTTGATAGGGAGGGGGTGAGGGGGAAGGGTGAGGTCGTGAACTTCATTAAACTTGGGGTGAACCAGTTTCTTCCTACAAATCACTGACTTTGGGCAGACCATGCCCAGAAATTCAAAGTAATATGGGGCCCATCTAAGTCTTCACCACTTAAACAAGATAAATACAAGTCATGAAAGGGGGCACAGGAGGTGTCGCCAGTGAGAGCCTGAAGGAGCCCGACGTGTGCATGCCCTGCCTGGCTCACCGTGCACAGTGGGCGTCAGCATCTACCAGGAGGGCCAGGATGTGGCCCTGACATCGGACGTGGAGTACCCCGAGTGGCTGGCTATTCCAGATGAACCTGCCCCCCTACCCCAAGCTGGAGGCGCTGGACCCTGGGGTGCGGGAGTACTGGCAGCTGCTGCGGAAACAAAACATCTGAGGCCACAACTGGCTGAGCAAAGACAAGAAGTTGTAGCAGGGACAGGCCAGAGCGCCCTGAAGGGCAGCCTGGTGGGACACAGTGTCCTCCTACCCCCACCACCAGGACTTTTTGTTTTTCTGGAGAAAATGGACTTGAGGTTTCTGTGTGTCTCCCCTGCCCCCAGTAAGGCTGGACCCTGGATACTGCCTGATGTTGGGCGTGCAGGGAGGTGGCTCCTCAGACCAAGGTGCCCCATCCCGAGGTCCTCAGTAGGTTTTTCTCCCTGGGTCCTGGAGTTCCTTCACTGTGCCAGGAGGGCCCCCCTTCAAACCGGGAAGGGTAGGTGGTCCTAAGCTAAGCCGGTCTTGGTTGCCATGAGTTCAGGTCTGACCAAAGCCATCAGAATCAGAAGAGAGTCTTTATGGGCTCCAAGAACTAAGATGACATTCAGGCTCCAAGACTAAGGCTGCCCTGCCTCCAGGGAAACCCCTCCTCTTAGAGGGACTCTGAGCAGTGAGTGACTAGGTCCCTGCCCAGGGGCAGAGGCTGTGAGCGCCTTCCCTGAGGTGTTCTCAGAAGGCCATGCTGCCTGCTCCCTCCTGCCCATGGTTCCCTGCTGCTCTCAGGGCAAAAACCAAAATTATGATGGCCCACTGCCCCTCCCTCCTTCTCTCTTCCTCCCTTCTATCCTCCCTCCTCTCCCCCTCCCCTCCCTCCTTCCCTCCTCCTTCCCTCCCCTTTCTCCCTCCCTCCCCTCTCCTTCCTCCCCTTCTTCCCTCCCCTCTTCTCC